CGAAAACTGCCGTCGAATCAGTGCACGCTCAACGGCAGCGTTACGCACGACAGAACCAGAAGTTGTCCGGGCCCATGCCACCTTCGCAAAGTCCCTGGGTGCAGCTACTGTGTAGTCAGGGTGCCTTCCAACCTGGTGGCACAGTGAGTTCCAAGGCTGATCCACCAGCAGTTCTGCTGGAGGAAGAGGAGGCTGCCTGCTTCTGTCGAGAGTCTCCCTCTCAGAGACCCTGCAGGGCTAGGTCGCTAGGAGAGTTGGAATGGACTCGGGGCATTGGATTTCGGTCTTTGCTTTGCTAACCCCCAGGGAGCATCCTCCAGCGCGACGTGGGCATTGTTCTCTTGTGGCCAGTAAGGCTTGCGTGGACTAACATTCAGAAGTGGATCGTCTGTTCTGCTGCCTTCCTGGTCTACCTTTAATTCCGAAAGCCCCACTGAAAGCTGTCCACCCCGATGACCCTGCTAGGATTTGAAATGCCGGCCACGACAGTGACACGCGGCTACCACAGGACAGCACGCTGACAGATGGGTGGTGGCAGGGACTGCCCAGGCCACAGGAAATAGCTGTGGGTGTCAGACACGGTTATCTACTGGACTTGCAACTCAGTGCTCTGTAACGGGGGCTGTGACACCTTCCAGGATGGCTACATCTTCTAGAACCGTTTTGTGCAATGAACCTTTCAGAAAGAGAGCAAGTTTCACAACAGACAGGTCTTCACGGCTCTGCATAGAGTATGTCGCAGAGGGCTGTCGGGACGGGGTCCATGAGGGCTTTGCCCACCGTGGCCACAGGGAGACTTGCAACGTGCAGTTACCTTTTCTGGGCAAGAACAGCTCCGCACACTAGTGTGTTCCTCAAGCAGACATCCCGGGGAGAGGGGAAATGCTGCAAACAAGAGAGCCAAGTGCTTTCTCCGGCCCGCTGACGTGGGTTTCAGGCCTGCCTCCGCCTTGAGCCCCAGTGGTGTAGTGGTCACTCATTGGGCTGCGATCTGTATGGTCGGCAGTTCAAAACCACCAGCAGCTCCTCCTCGGAGAAAAAGACCGGACTTTCTACTCCCGTGAGCGGTTACAATCGCCGACACCCACCAGGACTCACTGTGAGTCAGCGTTTCTGCCTTGTGCAGGCACATGACCTTGGACAAGTTACTTACGCTCTCTGAGCTTCTGTGTCCTCCCCCATCCAGAGGGGAGACAGCGGCTCTTCCAGGCACATATCACCTCTGACCAGGCTCCTGCCCTGGGCTTATCCAGTAGATGCTCTTTCCAGACCACACCTTTACCTGGCGGTCCTGCTGCATCTGAAGGAGCTCTTAGGACACTGTACTTTGGCACACAGCTGTCTGTCTCTGGTAGACACTCATGTCTGTCTCCACTCACGCTGTACGTGTTGGGGGCTGACCGTGGTCGAGGCTGGGGGTTGGGTCCTGGGAGCAAGGCAGGCCCCACTCCATGCCTTCACCGGGTCTGCATTATGGGAGGGGAGAGAGACCTCAAACTGGAGTCGTTAACGATTTGTGTAACTAAGGCACTGCTTTCTGCACATTGATTGAGCAAAGCGGGGGCTGGCCCAGACCCAAGGTTTAAGAGAGGGTCCCCTGGCAGGATGTGGGGTCCCAGGGGGTAACGCCCGAGAAGAGATGGGGAGAAGACGCAGACAGAGCAGCAACCAGGCACCAGGGGAAGCAAAGCTTGCTGAGTTACGAGTTTGTGTAAAACAGGCGCACCACGGCGTGCAGACAATTAAACAAAACAAGTTAAATTGGTGACGCTGCCACCATGTGAGGACCTGACAGATGGGCAGCAGGCTGTGATGGCAGCCTTAGCAATGCCATCCTTTTATACGGAATTAGGTGTGCTGGTTAATTGTTTCATTATTGTGTGTGTGTGTGTGTGTGTGTGTGTGGATGTTGGCAGTGAGGGGGGTGAATGCAACTAGAGAACAAGACTGTGTATCCTCCCAGCAAAGGAACCTTCAAGCCTCACGTAATACCCTCCTGCTTCCCCTGGGAAATCATTTGTTACTCAAGTGTTTGACCTGATTGGTACAGCCACTTTAGTGTTGACTGTTTCTGTCATGTGCTTGTTTGTCTGTCCTATCAGCTCTCCTGTGATTTAGGTGCTGTGTGGATTTCTTCTTTAAATCCGATCCAACCATCTCTGTCTGTCATTTGGCGTGCTCGGTCTGCTTGCACTTAGTGTGAATACGTGGATGTGTCCTCTGTGCTTCTGTTCGGCACCCATCTCCTGTCCGTTGTTGGGTTTTGCTCTGGCACCCTGTCGTCTTTTGACGAGCATTTTGGAATTCCTTTGCATGCCTTGCATTTTGGGGGGGTTATATGCCTATTGAACTTCGTGAGAGGCTGCCATCGCCCTTGACGCTGTACCACATCTAGCCACAGGGAAAAGAGTCCAACTTCCATGCCATCTTCCAAGTCCACCGGGATATAGACAATACTGCTGAGTCCAGTGGTCCCTCTAGGGTGTCATGCGTGGTTGTTTAATAGATAGCGCTCCAATCTTTGTAATGTAAGAATTCAGCCTGAGACCGATAGGTTTCAGAGTTCATGTTAACTTCCTACCCGCCTGTCTCTTTGCTTCTTACATCCCAGACCTCTCTTCTGGGATAACTTTCTTTCTTTAAAAAAAGTATATCTTTCCATCATGGTCCACCAGTGGTAAGCTTTCTCTGTGTCTACCTGGAAAAACAAAGATAAAAGTGTCTTTATTTTACCATATTTGTAAAGAGACTTTTTCTGGAGAGAGAGTTGTAATTGGAAATAGTAGGATCTCCAGGGTTTAAAAAGATTCCTCAGTCTTGGGCCCCACTCTTGTTCCACTCAAGTCATGTTTCGTCTGCTTGTTCTACGAGACGCACCGACTGACCGAGAAACTCCATGAGTCTGGTCCAGCAGTGTGTGTGGTCCTGGCTCTCCAGGTGCCGGACACGTTGAGTTCAATTGAAGTCTGTCTTCAAGGTCATCAGTCCTCTCTCACTGTATCTAATCTGTTGTTTCATCAGCACACCCACTCGATTAGTCTAAACTCTTGACTGTGGTATTTATTTCAAAGACTTGTATTTGCTATCCTCTCAAATACGTCTCGCCACTTTCGATTCTGTCTTCCTCCTTGCTCCATTTAAATGCGCGCCCCGCGATAGGTAATTAGCTATTCGTTGAATATTTCCATTCATTAGCATATGCAATGTTTCATGCATCCTGGCCATGTTATGCAGCATTAGAGTCCCCAGCTAGTCACTCTCCTGTCTGAAGCCCAGGTCTGCCTCGGCTTGTTCTTGCGAGCGCACATCACGGGACCGCCTCCTTCGTGCGTTAGGTTATTTCACTTCAAGAGGAGTTCATAGCGGGCTCGATTTAATCGGGGGCACTCGCAAGGAGGCTTTGGGGCTAGGATGGCTTTCTCCACGGTTGACTTGCGTTAGCTTCCCCCGAGTACCAAGGATGCCACCAGCCTGGCAGCATGCTCGTGCCACCACCTTGAGATTTCATGGGAGGGGCCAACCCCACCAGCACCCACGAGAAAGGCCCACGCCCTGGCTGGAGCGCAGAAAGACAGTGTCCCTGCCCTCCTCCTGCTGTGAAGATCGTCTCTTGGGGTCGCTAGAGAACTCTTCAGCTCAGCCTGTGCCCCACCCCCGCCCCACACCCCAACTTCGGGCTTGCAGGCTGGCTGGTTTTCTCGTCTCTTCTACCCTTTCTGTGGGGTTTTCAGTTCTTCCAGCTCTTCAGAAGGCCAGGGCCCTGCGGGACCTTCAACGCGTACGTTTGTTTAAGCATCATTTGCGGTGGAGGGTTTCTCAACGTTCAGAGGGACACGTTACCTGAAATCCCGTTACACCGTGCGTGATTCAGGAATAGGAGTTCACGTTCCGAACGGAAGCTTCCTGGGGACTCTGTCCGTGTCTGCCGGTGCCATCCTGCGGCACAGGATCCGAACATCTCTTTGTTCCCTCTTTTCTTTCTCTGGAGACTGGCTCTGTTGCTTTGTGCTTTGGGATGCGGACCTGCGGCTGCAGAGCCTACTCGGCGCAGTCCAAGCCCAAGCACAGGGGACCAGGATCTGAAAGAGACTCTGGAGGAGCTGGACCCCCAGGAGAACCCCCTGCCGCTGCCTCCCAGAGTGGTCAGCATCCAGGACGCTGAGGAAGGGACACAGAACCCACCCGGGCACTGGTCTCTTGGGGCTCCGCTCCTCCCAGGTCTCAGGAACATGGGGGTCGTAGCTTTTAACTTCTCTGTCCCTGCAGCTCAAGAAGGAAGGCTGGGAGGGAGAGCATCACAGTCCCTCCCCCATAGTCACATCCCTTGGGGTCCTCGGTGGCTCTGACTACGAAAGGTGGGGCCGGGCCATCAGCCGAGGATGCGCAGACGTGTGGGGGCAGTTGGGGAGGAGATGGTATGGCTTGGTCCCCACAGAGAATGGGCCACACGCATGAAGGAGGGGTGGTAAGAGTGTGTGGCAGCTTGGACCGGAGGGAGTACTCCACCGGGCAAGTGTGGCAGAACAGGGGCAAGGGAGGGAAGAGGGCTGGGGAGGAGGAATTCGGTTGGGGTACAGCCAGCTGGGACGAACGGGCCGAGGGAGTGGTGGATGGGGGAACATGGGCATCATGGTGAGTGGTGGGTTGGGTGGCTGGAAGGTGAGGTAGTGTATTATGTGGTAGCGCTGGGAACACGAGGTGTGGCTCCCGTCTTTGTTGGATGCTGTGTGGTCAGTTTCCTGAGTCCCCATGACCCCGCATGACAGGTAGAAGCACCCTTGGATTTTCGAGGTGCTGAGCTGCCACCCTGGCCTCTGCGTTTCACTGCCCGCACCAAAGCTGGGCACCTCGGGGCCGGCCTGGAAAGACCAAGTTGGACACAAGTTGCCCTGTCTCCACCTCCCTCAAAGCCCCCACGTCACCCCAAGTGGCTCATTTAGGGTGCACTGAGTCATGTGGCCTCCATGCCACCATGGCTGCCATCAGCCGGTAGCCGTGCACTGCTCTAAACTCTGCAGCATCCCAGAAGGGTTCAAGACGAGGCACATGGTTGACGCCTACAGCCTCACAGCCTCAGAAGCAGGTGCCCAGCGGAAGGGGATGGGCCAGGGTTGGGACAGTCCTGCCCGAGGGGCGGACATTCAGTCTGCCTTTTCTGACCAGATGCCCGTGTGCATCTCCGGGGGCTCAGGCCTCAGGACCAAACACAAGACCAAGCGTCCTCGGGCCGTTCACCAGGGCCCCATCCAATTTCATAAGGCCACCCACAGTCCCAGTGCCCAGCGGCTCCCGCCCCCAGCAGGGATCCTAGGGTTCTGTCCCTGTGTGGGTTTCCATTGACTCCCGTTGGCACTCAAAGGAGCCCTAGGGGCAGAATGGGCTGTGGGTTGGTCAGCAGTTCAAAGCCACCAGCAGCTCCGGTTAAACCGAGGCAGAGTCAACCGATGGCAGTGAGTCGGTGAATTGGCGCTGGAGCCCACTGTGCCGAATAGCAGGACGGTCCGTGCGGCTCATTATATTCCTTCTGGCACCGCCCCCCACTGCCCCCCACCGCCCCACGTGTGCAGAGAACAGCTCCCTATGGCATTGAAGGCAATGACCTCCCAGAAGCAGGTGGCCTAGCCTGGCCTTCTGAGGCCCCTCTCGGTGGGCTCAGACCACTCGCCCATGGCCCATCGGTCACCCAGCCTCTCAGTTGGACACTGGGAACTGACTTCTGCTTCCCCCCCAGTTTGACAAGCTCTGGGGTGAGATGCCGGTCACCGCCAAGGGGAAGCTGAAATACCAGGACTTCCTGAGCAGGTTCAGCTGTGAGAAGGCAGTGTCACCACCCATCTCCAGGGAATCCACCCGGGCCCAGAAAGGGAGCAGTCTCCCCGAAGTCTCAGAGGGGGGCCGATCCACCCGGTCATCACCCCTGCATGCACCAAAGGTGGGGACACCAAAGACCTGGAGCCACCCCTGCGTGAGTAACCCCTGGGGGTTGGGGGTTACATGCCACCCAAGGCTGACCGCAAATCCCGCCAGGCCTCTGGGTGAGTGACCGAAGGGCACGGGCCCCTTGGGCCAGGGGTGATGGTGAGCAAGAGGCTGGGCTCACAGGACAGGGTGCTCTACAGTGGCTTTCCTGGGACAGGGCAGCAGGGCAGCGTGATGAACTGACCGTGGAGCCCTGAGCATGTGGTGTTGTAGTTACATGTTAGACTGAACCACAAGGTCAGCAGTTTGAAACCACCAGCCACTCCTTGGGGAAAAGATGAGGCTTTCTACTCCGGTAAAGAGTTAGAATCTCAGAAACTCCCATAGGCAGTTCTACCCTGTCCTGTTGGGTTGTGATGAGTCAGCAGGGAGTTGGGTTTGAGTCCTTCAGAAGTTGACTGCCTGGCCTTTTTCCACAGCATAGCCCCTCCAGCGAGATATCAGCCTAGCTAGACACCCTCCTCAGGCTGTCAGCAGCAGCAAAAACGTGAGAGAACAGATAAGGGGGAAATGTGTGCCCTGGGTCTCTGCAGAAAAGATAGATTTGTGGGTCAGATACCAACAGAGAAGGAGAGCCATACAGAAATAGACCAGTGGATTCTCTGCTGGCCTGCTGCAGGCCATTCGGAATCAGCTCCACCCACATTCAGAGCCCTCTCTACTAGCTGACGAAGAGAAAGGTGGACAACACACACACACACACACACACACACACACCCTCTCTCCTGGTGAGCAGAAATGTGACCAACCCCTACCCTCACAGACCCCCAGGGCTGTAGAATATACAGTCGGAGAGACGAGGCAGGTCCACAGAGAGCAATGTGTACAGACACACACTGGAGACAGATGCAAGGGGGAGGGGGTGTCATCCTTTGCTCCCACACCCCCTTGGCAGCCAGAGGAGGGTCCAGTGCCCACCATGAGATACCCAGTAGCAGCTGCACTTGCCCTGCACCCTCCCAGGGCCGCAGAATACACATGCCATTCAGGAGTAACCTGCCACCAAATGCCTTGTTCTAGCTTAGGCTTCTTGTTGTTGTTGTTGTTGTCTGATTGGTTGGTTGGTCTTTCCCTTCTTGCCCCACCCAACTAGAGACCCTTTCTCCACATAACCCAGCCCCCCACACCTCCAACAGCTATACCTGGTAGGTAAGTACCACCACCCACCCCAGTGCCAGCTGGACACCAAACAAGCACACATACAATGACACCACAGTGCCGTGAACACAACGGATCGTTTTCGTTAACTACACTGACTGTCACATGGATTAATTGCACCCAACAGGAGACAGATTGCATGAGAAACACGCCCCCTCAATATGCCGCTTGCAGCAAGCACATCTCAGACACAGAGACAAAAATGGACTTTAAGTCTAAGGAGAGAAAAAAAGATCATGGTACCGAGCCAAAAAAAAGAGTGGAAATGGCAATGTGGGTTTCTGATATGACTTCAGGGCAAAATCCAGCCTCTGGGACAAAGAAAGGCCTCGCATAGTGATTAAAGTGTCAGCGGATCAAGGAGACGTATCTGTAATAAATATCTATGCACCAAATGAAAGCCTTCCAAAGTACTTCAGTGAAACCCTTATAGAGTTGAAGAGAGAAACAGACAACTCTACAAGAATAGCGGGAGACTTTAACACACCACGTTCATGGAAGGACAGAACAACTAGCAAGAAACTCTCCAAAGACACAGAAGAACTGAACAACACAATTAACCGATTTGGCCTCAGACTTCTATACAGTAGCCCACCCCACAGCAGCACCATATGCATTCTTTTCCAGTGCACTCGGAACATTCCCCAGAGCCTTAGCAAGTATTGCAACACTGAGACATTGCAAAGCTTCTTCTTGAATCACAACACTATAACATCAGAACTCAACCATAGGAAGATCAAGAGGGAAAATCAAATGCCTGGAAGTTGATGAGCATCCTGCTTAAAAACTACTGGGTAATCAAAGAAGTAAAGAATGAAAATTTTAAATTCCTTGAAACAACTAAGAACAGAAATACAATGTACTAAAACCTTTGGGACACAAGCAAAGCGGTATTCAAAGGATAACGTATATCAATAAGCACACATGTCAAAGTAGAAGAACCAAACTTAATCCAACATCCTCATCAGTTAGAAAAATAAGTCTACAGCCACCAGAAGAAAACAAGTAATAAGATATCAGAGCAGAAACATGTGAAACAGAAAAACAATAGAAAGAATCCAGATAAGAAGTTAATTCTTTGTGAAAGGATTAACAAAACTGACAAACCACTGGCAAACCTAACAAGGGAGAAG